TGCCCCTCGTCCCTGCGCGTTCGCCAGCTAGCAGCGGTTGTTAGCGGCCGCCGCCGGAGACGGCGGAAAGGTCTCCACGTGCACGGTTCTCCCCCGTGCAAGTCTAAGGGCAAAACCAAGGAAAACATCCACAGGAAACCTTCCCCACCACATTTATTGCAAGTTTTCAGTAAGCGGCTTTGTGGCTGTGAGAGTATGAATAACACTTACCTAGCCGTAAATAAGTAGTATTTTGTTTGTTAGATCTATTTTGATAATAGCGGGTAAGCGTTTTTTCAGTGATAATCAGCAATTCATTCTTATATCAGCAATAAGCGTATATATCTTGTAAATTTGCTAGACTGCAAAAGTCTGTCAAACATCTTAATGTGCTTAAGCAGTGAAGGATAATGGCACACCAGGACACAGCTAAGCAATCCACATTCTGCACCGCATTGGTGCCTAGAAGACAGCTAGTACATTGTCCATCTGTGCATTTCTATTTTGGTGCTGTTGTCAGAGTAACTATGACACTTTACACCAACTACTGGATATTCTTCTGAATTTAACAAGATCCGGATGACACACTGCAGATTACTTCAATAAATCTATCAGTCCTGTGATCTCTAAGAGCTAAGGCTACGTATACGGCAATGCGTTTAAGGCGGGGAAAAGGTGTATAATGTGAATTGCAAGTCCACAGCTTCTCACAAGATCAGATCCCATGGGGTGTCCTGCCTTCCTAAATACTTATACTGAGAGTGCGCAGCATTCGTATTCTGTCTGCAGCTGAAAATAAACGTGCTGAGGAGAAATGCACATTTTGGGGCAGGAATTTCCTCGTATTAAAAAAAAAAAAAAAGTGTACTTCTCCAAGTATATTTGGTTTGTTTTCCCCCTTCCTTGATAGATGTCTAAAGATATTGCATAAATACATCTATTAAGTGCCTCCCCTGCAGTCCATCAGGACCGTGCAGGTTAGAAACACCTGCACTGGAAAGTCCTTACGTTTCTCCAGCAGTGGGGCAGCTCACGTTCAGAATATCAATCAAACGTCTTAAGTAGTCTTTGTTGGCAACTTGCATAGTGCCCAATTTTTTCTATTGGCTTTAACATGTAACCAAAAATAAAAATTAACTATCTAGTCTCACTTTCAGCACTATGAAGGAAAGATAAAATTACTCCAAGACTCCTCTTCCACTAGCTTAACTCTGAATTACTATCTACTTCTATTAATTTTGCATGAAATACTGTAAACAGAAGCTAGTTGCCTTGTTAGATGCACAGATCTGGAGGGTTAGCTATCAGCATTAGATAGTTAAGAGAAAACATACAGTGTAATTTTTAAAGGGTTAAGATTGTAGCAGAGGGCTGTGCTCACTAGACAGTTAATTCATATGAAAATCAGCAATGAAGGGATTTGGGGTTCCTTAATACATAAGCTTCAAAGGGATGAAGGATTATTAATCTATTGTGTTAATTTCTAAGAACTGAGAGAGTGTACTGGCCCAAATACTGAATGTAAATATACATCTAAGAAATTCAGTAGAAGCTAGAGTAATAGGACAGAATAAAGCAGATGGCATGGAAAAAAAAAAAGTGCCTCAATCCAGGGAAATTTTACCGCACCCTATATACTGTCTCTTTCAGTGCCTCATTTTCACAGCTTTTGAGCTGGAGCCTGGAACAAGACAGCAGGGTATCGGTGTGAAACCTCTTGATTAAAGTGACATAGGGAACACTGTTACTGAAACATGCTGTCTCTGAGAGACATGTCCTCATTTTCGCCATGTGGGTAAGTGCACTAGGCTCGATTTTATGTAACTCACATAGGACTCTTATCTCCTGGCAAGAAAACGATCCAAAATATATTAAGACTAGCATTTATGAATTATTTTCTCATACAAACACACAATTAGGAAATACTTCCCATGTACAAACAGCTGTATCTGGAAATGAACTAACATCGATCCATGCAGGTAAGGAACAGTTTAGTCCACTGGATACTATGCAGCAGTGGGAGAATAGCCAATTCGCATACATTTACAAACGTAACGTTTGAAGTAGTTGAGAGGGAAACTACTGAACACCGTCCTCACACACCAGTACGCCGCAAGGTCACATTAGCATGCGTTAGTGAAGGGCTGTAAACCTTACTTCTGAATTAAGGTTCTCAAGCTTGTATCAAGCCCTCAAAGGTACTGAGTCAGGTTTTCATATTTCCTGATGGTAGGGACTGAGAGAGTAAATACGGATAACTGCATTTAAAAGCATATTATTTTCTCCATTAGTATGCAGCTTTGGCACATGTTGAGACTGGCCTTTCAAACTTACATGTTTTAGATTAAGGGTTTTAAAAAAACAGATTTCTATCTAAAGTATGATGAATGTCTACATACAAATTCAACTGTGTATTATATATGCAAATTAAATATTCCAGCATTATGCCATTTGAATTTTTCAAAAGCTGAGAAAATTAACAGTACAAGACATAATTCAAATTGATGTTTTTTCCTGAATAAAAGTTCCCCCTTAGTAATAACCACCTTGTTTTTGTCCAGTTTGGATTTACACAGCAATATCAGAAGAGACCTAAAGTTTGTAATAAAACCCAACAACACGTAAGGAAAATCTTCCCTCCATTTACATTGTTTTAATAACATATAACAACCAAATGACTCACTGAGTAGAATAGTTTGAATGCAGCTTTGTGGCCTTGATTTCATGAGTGATTTACTATAGCAGTCTCAACAGATGACCCAGAGCCCAAAGCTGGCATTTTTGTACATCCGTTACTACTCCTCTCTAAGCAAGATTGAAACTAGGTTAAGAGGACTTCTCCCATTTGAACCATTTTGGGGTAACATTCTATGGTTTTAGGCATGCTTACAAGATGTACAGAATAAGTGACAACTGCAAGGTGTCCGGCAGCCAGCCACACTGCAGCGCTTGATTAGCTAGTCTGGGCTGGGTTTAGGTGATGCAGAGCCCAACACATGCCATGCTAAGGGTCCCCTTCCACACACCACCCTCTCTGCAGGGGCAGAATTTTTTGTTATATCTTTTCTCTCCACTCTGAGTTCCCAGGTCCTAGCTCAGTGAGGAGCACCTCAAGGCAGGGGCTTTTTCTGCACTGGATGTCATACCAGTTGTGCCCCTCCCCAGTTGGAGGGCTTGCAGCATCTTTTTTCATGTTTCTTCTTCCTGCTGTGAGGAAGGGAAAAGTCTTCATGGAAAGCTGCTGTGGCCATGAGGCCCTCCTAGCACCCCAGCCTGAAGCTGAGAGGAGAGCCTCACTTCAGCCTCCTCAGGCACACACAAGTCCCCATAAACTTTCAGCTCCAATCTGTCCATACTCTCCCAATACTTGGAAACCGAATATCAGAAGCATCTGGTTCATTCTTCTGAAATTTTGGGAGCAATGTGGGCTGAAAACAAATACCATCTTACCACTAGTACTTCGTATTAACTCCAAGTTTTATCTGTTTTGTTTCATGGAGGTATTGTTGGGTGCAACTGGCCTCAGCACTGAGGGCATCTGCCACCTCACATTCATCAGGAAAATTGCTGCCTTGTCCTCCAAGCATATACTCACCATCAACCTCCAGCTGCTGAGACTTCTGGTGTCTCAGTTTTCTGCAGACCGCTTCCTAAGCCGCTGCAGGAGAGGATACCAGCATCCATTAAGAGTACTTTGGGAATCTGTGTTTCATTAAACAGAAGGGTACAAAGTCCCAGCTTAATCATGCGTGCAAGTACCCAATTTCCTCAATATACCAATTACGCACACCTTGCCAACATTTTCCATATTGGCATTAACAGCACTGTCCTACATGTCACAGAAATCAAACTTGCACATGTTCTGCCCCCTGCAAGCCCCTCACAGTGGTAAACACGCACCACGGTGCCTCTCTCAGGCATCCAAGTCTGCTTCATTTGTACATTCTTTTTTGTAGCTCCCAAACAACCTGTAAGCCTCTTTCACCACCTTTCCTAGAGCAAAAGGGATTGCACCACAACAAGGAGACTTTATACTTTCATGCAGGAAAGGACAAAACTTGCTCAAAGCTGCATGTGGTGATAGGTCCAAGTAACTCCACACCAACAGGTTCTGTCAAAGAAAGAGCTCTCCTATACAGGCCACTTCCTAGAGAGGCCCTGAGCAGTGCAGTGGTAGGAGACTTCACGTGTATTTTAACCACACAAGTGCCAACAGGAAAACCACTGATATGAGTGACTTGTGCTTTGTGTGCTAGACAAATCACTGCATATGAAGAGGTAGCTTGTCTGCAGAAGCCCAAGCACCAATTCTCCTAGAGCATCTCCTTAGCTGCACAGAGACCTTAGGTGGAGAGGCAGGCATCTACAGTTTTCCACTTCAATCATTAACTGCTACTTTGAGTATAAACTTTGTGTTGATCCAGGCCATCTATTAAGACAGAAAGGTACATAGTAAGAGTAGTACTATGATCCAAAGGAGTTGAAATGCAAGTCTCAACACCTTTTTAAAAATATATATAAAGGATTTATTCCCAGCAGCCTTGCTTTTCTAAAAACATTCCACTCCATTTATGGCTCTTCTGTGTTCTGTCCTGAAGCCAATCTGCGACCTAATGAGGCAGGAGACTTCCCATTTCAGGACTCCACACTTTCAATGTTAACCCTGTGGTGTGCGATTCATCCACCTTACAGAATTTAGGATGGGAAGTCCCCCCTCAGGGGTTATGAACTGGAAGCGTGATCCGGTAAGTAACGAGAGCCAGAGCCACTGTCAGTACCCATTTTTTTAAGCCAGCCCCATTGAAGAATTTGCTCCCTTTGGGGTGGGGAGAAGGCAGAGTAGGAGGGTCTAGCTTTATCTCACATTCCTCAATTACGTCCAACATTACCAAAACCATTTCACAGCACAGTGCTTTAAACAGTTGTGTCCGCAGGACTGCGGAGCATCTGGAAACCTTACAGGAACCTACTCACCAGAGAAGATCTTTTCGTACTGTCACGGTTTTCTTCCCAAGTCATCTCATCTCTCTCTGCAGATATTATGAAAGGCAGACAAAAGTATTCTTATCTTCAACTGTTAAGTTTACAGCAGTGTCACCATGCTGATAACAAAGTACATCCAAAACCAACCAAGAGCAGCCACGTGCTCATCATCAACTGAGAGATTTGATTTTTCTATCCTACTGTATTAAGTAACATGTAAAGAATTTCATAACCACACCTCCATGGGATTTAGCATTGTCAAGTTTCATTTATTCTTGCAGGCACAGTAAGATTAAGAACATTGATTAACCCTCTCAAAGAGTTTTTTGTCTCTACAGAGTAGAAGTCACAGAAGCACCTGTTAATCCATTAGGCCGAGATCATATAAGGAACAGCACTACAAGCCTGGGCTGCAAGATAACCTGGAACACAGCATAACCCCATATGATTGTTACAGAGCCTCTACACAAGGTAAGGGATATATCAGGTTGTGCAATTTTTTTTTTTTTTAAAAGTATCTACACTGCCACAATACACAGATGCACACTATTTAAAACAGCTACCTCCCCCCAGCCAACCTCTTTTCAGGAGGCAAACAGACACAGCAGCGAGAGTACACATGAAAGACTTCATCCTGCTCTGCTAGCAAGTTATTTTATTTCAGACTACACAAAGAAAGCAGTAAGTGCCATCAAGTTAGAGCAGTAATATTTATTTCATTGCCACATCGTACTGATGTAAAGATTTCACAGCCTGCGCAGTAGATAAAGAGGTCTGATCCTTGGGCCTCATTTACTGTACTGTATTCCAGTCACGTTAAAATAACTAACTCACTCACTGAAGTAGTAGCTGGTACAGAGCAGAGACAGAAGAGACTTGATGGAAAATTGTGCTCTCTAGTGGATAAATTTGATTTTGTTCAAGAAAGTTTCAAGCCATGTTGATACCTGACCAATAGGTTTTCAGGGCAGAGAAAGTATCCAGATTTTTACAATATGAGAAGAGCAAAAGTGCTTAGCTCAACAGATTTATTATAACCTAGGTAGGTTTACACTAGCCACTTGCACGACAGATCACAGCTAGAGAAGGGTTGCAATTATACAACTAAAAAGAAAGAAAAATTACCCAAATCCCAAGACATGCTTTTATGTTTGTTTTGATCTTAAGACAGACATCTTTAATGCAATAGCAAAATACTTCTTTCTAATACTATTACTATTTAGTTCACTTTAATATGATCCCAGAGAATACTGATGAAAACAGATTAATTTTACACCAGATATTGCTGCTTGGTTTACAGAATGAAGACGAGGATTTTTCTAAAAAGAAAAAAATAAAAACAGTTTAATAGCAATTCTCTGTGGATTTATTCCTAAAGAGGAACTGACACAATCACCAACTTTATTTCTAGTTCTGCATACACTAATCTTAAATTTACTGAATGGGTCTTCAGGAATTATTAACTGCTGTTCAATTTGCTTTCCTACAGTATTAAGGAAATGCCACCCATTTTCTTCATCACAGCTGTCCTAGTATTTAATACTACTCTGCTTTCTGGGCAGGTACAAACCAATGAACACATGAACTCCATTTAATGACAGATGAATTAATATTTATTTTTTTAAACAACTTTGCCACTTCATGCTTCTTCAACAGCCTACAGGATTTAGCTTTTTTGAATTCTGTATCCTAACTAGGTTATTGGTATAAACCTGAGGTTAGCAAGGAAATAGGAATATGAAAGACTGTTTTAAAAAGCTAGACAGCTAACTCGCTCTAATTTAAAAGTGTACTTTAAAATATGGCATGCATTGTAATCCAAGAGTAAGCATCCAGCAAGACATGGATGTTAGATTTCTGTTTTATGCCGTTGCCAAGTGTGATGACTTGTCGCTATTACAGAAAGTAACATTCTCTCTCTTCCTCTTTGGCCTTTAAAGATGAAATACGGGAAGCGAGAGGAACATTTCTTCTTTGAAGCACATAGAAACACAGAACTTGCTCTCATACTTTAAATCCCCTTGTATATGCAGAAGAGGCAATTTAACACTTCAACAAAACAATCTGGATTTATAAGCATCACAAGCCACAAACAGAATCATATTTGTTAAAAGATCTGCTAGCTAGACGTTTGGAAGGCAGATATTTAAGAGGGAACAAAAGTTCATAGCTGATCTTATGCCTACAGCAAGAAGGGAAGAGTCTCACTGACTTCCATCATGGCTGTGCCATTTTGGTAAGAATTTGAACACTTACATTTAGTTAATCCCCTGACAGCAAGCAAGTTTCCTATATTTCTGGACTGGTTGTTCAGTATTTTCACAGTATTCTTTCAATCTCCGCCCTTCACATGACTATATCAATCAAGTTGTACATTTTAGTTAAGCCATATAACTTAAAAACATGCATAAGATTTCAGTTCATCCAAAAAAGCAGTCTTGAAATTAAGGAGCCAGAAAGACAAATGAGATCCCCCTTGAAGTCCTGTGTAGTTACTGTTAAAGACAGGTAGCGTGATCTTAAATAAATACGTTTAGTTTAAAATTCAGTAACATTCATGCAAAGTTAACATACAGGTGTAAAGAGTTTGTAGCACCACTTCATATTAACAGATACGCGTTACTAAATTTGTTCCAGTAATACCTATCAGCTACGCCAGTGTGTGTATGGAAGGGAAGCAGCCCAGTAACTGAGAGAAATACTGTTTTTTTTAAGCCTCATTTTAGAGTGGGTATACTTGCAAAACCTGGATCTTTAGTTACAGAGGCTTTATCACAGCAAAGCAGAAGTTCCACTGGGCTCCTCAGACACAGCTAACTATACCATGTTAGAGTTCATTACTATAAAAAGTCATGAGAAAATACTAAAGTACAGCTCAGTAGACTAATGCATTAGATTTGTAAGGCATTCAAAAATTAGCCCCAGCGTTATAAGGCTGCAAGATCCTACTTAGAAATTCAGTTTACCTTGTGTCGGAAGTGCAAGCAAGCTACATCTTCCAGTTAAATCAGTCCCTGCGTTTCTTGAGGGGAGAGATCAAAACCCAGACAATTCCTACCAACTTCCAGTCCCACCCTACAAGACAACTTAACTTTTTGGGATGCAGCTGGCAAGTCAGGAAGACATCCACAGCAATGCATTACAGGTGTTCCTACAACACTACCACAACAGACCATTTTAAGGACGATTTACAGTAACTTACTCAGAAGCTATTGTGCAAAGAATGCCAAACCTTGCACTGACCTATTTATAATTCAAGTACTCTCTCTCCTCCATCATAAAGAGGTTTTAGATAATATGAAATCACAGTCCAGGAGGTCCTCATAAGGCAGGGCAGATTTCAGTCTTAACTTTCTACATCTGAACAGTTGCAGAAGTACCATTTGTGTAGCCACCTTTAGACTTCATGTGGTCCTGAATTGATACAGCCTAGAAAAAAAGTTTGAAGATATGCATCTTATAAAGTCTAGTTGTCAAAGCAATTTTTAAAAGCATCAATTTAAAGCGGCAGATGAGCCATGTGTTTATAGCGCTAGGTCTCAACAGCAATGAGAGGAAATAGGAATTAAACATAGTATTTTAAAATCCCATTTTAAATTGGTGCATGAAGGGGGTCTTCCTGTCCAAAAATCCAACTAATTTTTATATTCCTCACCCTGGCACAGATTTGACTTTGGGGTGATGCAATATCTGGATCTAGCGTGAAATGCGTCCACTGAACCCTTATCTAAAACATTCGCATCACACAAAGTCAGCTCCTCCCCTGAGCGTATCTTCCATAGCATCCTACGTGCACAGCTCAAAGGATTATTCTGTTCCAGCATTACTCTACGGTAGGGCAGGGGGGTGTTTTCCCCTCTTATGAATATCTAGTCTTTGTGGTACAGAGCAGAGAAGTGGCCGAGAGGCGCACACTTACAGATGAGAAGCCACTGCTCATCTCTCCCGCCCCAACGTGCGCAGTGTGCACGAAGTTCATGGGCTCTCCTATCATATCCCGGTCCAGTCTCCGACGCCTCTTCTGCGGGAAAAAGTATATCTAAGTTTAGAAAAGAGGAGGCAGCTTTCAGGCAGAAGGAAGCAGCTCAGTTAAAAGAAACCGATCACTACTGACCCCCAGTGACTCCTCATGGCAGCAGGACTGAGCTTTCAGACTGTTCACCATAAGAGAGAATCAAACTCACCTTTACTACTGCTATCTGATTTTTAGCAAGTCTTTTTTTTGTTGTTGTTTTTTAAATTAAAGTGTTGGAAAAGTCAGTTCTCGCCCAGCAAGCCTGTGACCTGCAGATAGTCACAGTATCAAAGCTTCTGGCAAAACACATAGTTTAAACATGGTGTAACAGGTCCATTGTCAGCTTTTGCTTTCCTTAGCACAATCTAATCAAAGCAACATGAAAATGAAAGCGTTTTCTGCATAACCAAAAGACAAATTAAAAATCTGATGACAGATGACAATTGTGCATCTACCCACCGGCTGCGGCGGTTCGCCGTTGCACCAATTGAAACAAACCAGGAACTCGGTCATTATATTTCTCAGTAGGTTTCGAGGTCTTGTTAAGTGGTGTTGTTTCTTTCAAATTTAAAGCAGAACAAGGCCCAAGATGCAGTTCCTCGAGTGAGCTGAAGAAGGAATTGCTTGTGCAGATTCACAGGTGAAGGTCACAGCAAATATCTGATGAGCAAACCTGCAGAGGTTATTATTTAAGTTATACTAAAACATTTTAAAGTAGAGTTTTGTAAGTTACTGAGCTATAGACATTTCAACAGAACTAAAACAAGACTGAAAAAGAATTACGTATACTTGCATAGAGGAGTAGCGGCAACTTAAAAATCAGTATGTTCATGGTAGAAAACTGGGCAAAAATTATGTACGTTCACTCCCAGATAGAGACATAAATCCTAGTTTCTTTACAGAAGTGCAGTATCAAAGCAATACTAGAATTGAGTTAGGGCTTGTTTAACACACAGGCCGTGATCCGGGTGCAAGTGGAGCTGGCCAACAGTTATGAACTGCTTAGCATTTCCAGAGATGATAGTGTTGACACACAAGAGACTGAATTCTTAAAATACATAAACACTTGCAGAAGAGCCTCTTTCTTGCATCTTATATAATTACTCTTCTTAAACATACAGAAATCAAAGTACAGAAAATTCTACAAATCCATAAAGCCCTAAAACCAGGAAAAAAAAATCTTTGTAACAGCAACAAAACCAGTTAATCAAACAGAGCCTAAAGCTTCCCCGAACATACCAAACCATTAGTACAGCAGACCGAAACTGGGGTCACAACCCAGTAACTGACTGGAAGTGCCCAGAAGCTATGACAACATCAACTTTTTAGTCAGCCCTTAGTAACTTTCCTTTTATATCCTCCTTCCTTTCAACTTCAGGGCTATAGAGGGACTTTTCACAGTGACATTTTCATACCCCAGCTCACTGTAACATTTTAACTT